TCAGGAAACATTCTAAATGGGGAAAAAATTGCAAGGGGCAGTTTTATCTTCTTGTTTTTTTTTTACCGAAAGCACTTTTTCTTCCATTCCTTTGCCCCCGACGCTCCATCAAAAAATGGGAAATAATTGAGGACACGTGTCACGCATCCATTGAACCAAGGTCCATCATATTCATGCTCATCTATTGGGTCTCTTCTCATGCATGATTCAACCCGACACGACAGATATGTTCTGATTTTTTTGTTTTCTCTTAATTATACAGATATGTTCTCTATTTTGAATGTCCAAACCATTAACGGTTTCAAGAATATTCTGAAAAGATTTTTAAATATAAGTGGTATTTGGATTTTTTTTGGGAAAAAAATCAAATTAGGGTTCTTAAGGGTATAATTCGGCCATGACTTATTCTTGGGGAAATCTTGGTGCATCCGAAGTTTCATTCCCTTTTCTTTGCTTCCCCTCTTAGAGATTGGGGTGAAATCCAACCATCAGAAAAGTATAGGCAAGAATTCTTCTTTACAATGAGATTTGGTTTGGGGTGTTGCCATTTGGAAGCTGTGGACTTGGCGCAACTATTCAATCTTCAACATTGATTTTGTGAAACCAACAAATCCTGATTTAATTATCAATCACTCTTGGAAACTGTATGTACAAACCAATGAAGAACCCTTCGTAAAGGGTAAACCACAGAGCACACATTTGCGATGTGGACACTCCCCCCATCGGGGTGGATTAAAGTCAACGCCGATGGCGCTATGGCATCAACTTCAAATCGAGCAAGCTGTGGGGGAGTCATCAGAGACCACAATGGGAGTTGGATTGCTGGGTTTGCCTATGCACTGGGAACCTATTCAGCTCTTGAATCTGAGGAATGGGCGGCCTTTAAAGGACTCAAACTCGCTTGGGACATGGGGTTTGAGAAAGTGATACTTGAATCAGATTCGAAGATTTGATTCAGACGATTACAAACTGTAAGCACAGTACCAATCACAATCTTGTGGTTTTTCAATTACTACAGATGCTGAATCTCCAATGGGAAGTACAAATTCTGCATATTTCTAGGCATCAGAATCGTGTTGCTGATTCTTTGGCCAAAGAGGGGCTCTCGTCTTCGGATTCCTTTCCTTCTTGCCCACTTCATCTTCGGACTATGGTAGCTGACGAGAGTTTGGGAACTCCTTCCCTTTCTTCTTAATTTGTAAAGTTGGGCTTTGCCCTCTCCCATGCCAAAACAAAAAATGATTTGGATTCGTTTAGATTTGGATCCAACTTATCTCTTGTTAAATCCTTTCATATCGTTCCATTGATCCCAAGCGTGCAACAATTTATCAAAATTAATTATTTTAATCAGTACCTTTTTATCATCTTAAAGAAATGATATTTCTCAAATTTAAGGTGATTACATAAGAAATATATTAGTGCGATAAACACATTATATATCTTACTCTTTTAATAATCCCCCTCTTGTCATGTTTATTCTTTGTTATTTCAGCAGGCTTATTTTATCTTCGAGGATAAATTTAGAAACAGCTAAGAATAACTTACTTCCCAACAATAACTTCATTGATTTTTTTTAATGCCAATCCCATTGTATTCCGTCCAAAATAAAATACTCCGATTCTTAATATAAGATTTTAATAACTAATTTGAAAAAAATTAAAAAAATAGACTGAGTTAGTTATTTATAACAAATATGTGTTGATTTCCTTAAATTTCTTTTATTTAATCATAGATATTAAAACTACACTTGGCTGGGAATACTTTATAATTAAAAAAGATATTTTCAGAACATATTATAAATTTGTGAGATAAAATAAATTAAAATCTTATATTTAAGACTGTTAACCAATTCTTATATCTAAAATTGTAAATAACAGGGTTCCGGTTTTTTTTCCCAGGGGGTCATGCCAATTTCCGTTATAGGCCAAACCCAACCCACTTCGCTTAGACTGAATCTTTCTGGTCACCGGTCAGCACAAGGATAAGGTGGTCATTGCCGGCAATGGCACGAAAGGGGTTGACTGACGATGACAAACATAGACACAAGTCAATGCTTTGTTTTCTAATTTTCCACTCGTTTATTCCATAGCCTTTTCCAATTATCTTTGGAAAATTTTGGCCAAAAACGTTATCTGTGAGAAAATAGAGTCTTTAAAAATTGAAAAATACAATCAAGAAGGAATCTTCTTTTAATAGAGACAGAAAGATGATCCAAAAGTCGCGTTAGTTGTGGAAAATAAGAAGGTTTCCTAAAATCTTCCCCATGGGACCCAAGTTGATGGCATGACCGGAATACCACATTTTAAAAAATTATTTATTTGAAATTAAACTAAACGTTTTTTTTAATAATCAGGTGAAATTATGACTGACTTTTTTTCCCCCTCTGTTTTTCTTTTCAATTTCACTAGTGCTCTGTTGCTCTTTTTGTTTTTTTTCTTTTCACAGTATTAAAAATCAGATCAGTTATTAGATCGGTCAAATTAGTAAGTTAAAGATTAGTAAGTCAATTCAGAATCAAACTAGTAATAATTAAAAATATATAATTTATAATCAATATGCACAAAATATTTATATTTAATTATAAAAAATATTTTCAAATTATCACATGGTATATAATTTGGCAAGAATAAAAGAATCGTATGAATTTCCATTTGCCCCTCCTTATATAATTAAAAATAATATGTATAGGCTAATACATTAATTGACGTGGGAGGAGAGAAATTCTTACATGCTCCCAGTGTCCCACCGTATCCATGCTCTGACAAATAAGATCATGACAACTCAACAACTTTTATCTTATGTGTCAACCTATGTATCAACCATTCTCTTCCTATTATTTTAATCATTTATTTTTGGAAAGCGTGCCATTGTCTCTCCCTCCTCGCGTCACTTTACTTTTACAAAAACTTTCACCCCTCTTTCTCGCTCGTCATCTGCTACCAGGCCCCCGCCTCGGTCTCTCTCGGCCCACCCACAAGTAAACCACTCTCTCTCCTCCTTCCTCTCTATCTCTCTCATTCTCATATTTTGTATTCCTTCATTCCTATTGTTTTTTAAGTCTGATTTTTTTTTCAATCATAATCTTTTATTTACTTTTTTTTAAAAAAATTAATATATAAATCTATCTTTTTATTCACACGTTTTCTTTTAAGGAGTAGAATTAAAATAATTAATAACTAAAGATTATAAAATGACAAATTTTAGAATAAAAAATAACAACAGATTCATGCTTGATTACCTATCAGTAAAAAATTTTAATAATTGAATTTGTTTTGGGACCCCGTGATAATTCTCCCAATATATTACTTTTTTTATTCTATTTATAAAGCAAAAAAAAGATATTTTTTTATTATATTTATAGGACACTGAGAAAATTTTTTTATATAGATATACAATTTTACTATTAATTTATTATTATATTAACTTTGTTTACACGAGATATATTGTATACTATCTCCGGTCCCATTTATGTTTATAGACTATAAACATGGTCTTATAAGTAGAACTTGAGGTAGTATTAGATAGGGATAAAGTTGAAAAATTATTGAATTTTAAATGATAGTTAATAAAGTTTAAGGTTTTTCTTAGTTTGTATAAAACATGTTAGAAGTGATTTATAAATAAAACCAGAAGAATATAAATGAAAGGTCGGAGTGAAAAAATTGGAGTTAGATCTAGATATTATTGAAAAAAATCAAGAGTTCAAAAAGTGTGAATAAAAAAATTAAAGTTAAATAGAGATATTATAAAAGAATCAAGAGTATATTATAAAAAATCAAGCTGAACGAAACATCAGTTCTTTTTTTTTTAAAAAAAATCAGACTTAAAAAACAATAGGAATGAAGGAATACAAAATATGAGAATGAGAGAGAAAGGAAGGAAGGAGGAGAGAGAGTGGTTTACTTGTGGGTAGGCAGAGAGAGACCGAGGCGGGGACCTGGTAGCAGGTGACGAGCGAGAAAGAGGGGTGAAAGTTTAAAGTGACGCGTGAGATAGAGGAGGGAGGAGACAATAGCACGTTTTTCAAAAATAAATGATTAAAATAATAGGAAGAGAATGGTTGCCACATAGGCTGACACATAAGATAAAAGCTGTTGAGTTGTCATGATCTTATTTGTCATAGCATGGATACGGTTGTGCACTGGGAGCATGTAAGAATTTCTCCGTGGGGGGATGGACGCGTTTTGAAAAACAGGAAAAATCACTGCAACACGCTATGCGTGTCAAAGGCAGCTTGAGGCTATGATTATGACTGACTTTTTTCTTTTTCTTTTTCTTTTTTGTCTCTGTTTTTCTTTTCGATTTGACTCTACATGGTGCTCTACTGTTTTTTTTGTTTTCTTCTCTCTTCCTCTCTACCTTTCAGACTGTTTGAGTAATGGGTCTTCTCCTGTGGCCTAGAAGTGCTTCTTTTATTTTTCCGGTTGTGCTCTTCCTCACACACACGATGTTCTTCTCAATACACGGTATTCTCAAACAACAAAAGCTCTTACTCCTCAATAATCATTATCTTCTCTTTTCTATGATTTCTACACTGAAAACTTCTTCCCTTCTTCTTTTACAGAGGATCTGAGCCTCTGCATTCTCTAGACAATTTTCTTTTGTTTTTTTGAAAGAGTGACTCGGCAACTTGCCCGATCTAGCGGGTTCCCCGAGTTATGACCAAGTTACTCGAGTTACGGTCGGACTATCCGGGTCACTTCTTTCCCGAGTTAGAGGCCTGATTGGACCGAACAAGTGATTGGTCACCAGTTTCCGATTCGACCCGGCCGGTCCAATCCGGTTCGGTTTTTAATACCATGCTCTTTATTTTTTAATCATTCTTCTTATCCAGTCATTGGCGCAAATGAAAGTGTCATAAGGTAAGTACAGGCTTGCCGTGGCAAAGCTTTCTGCTCTGGAAAATGGAAATCATGTGCAAATTAATTTCCGTTCTGTGAGAGCTTGCTTCACTTTGATTTACTTGAACATTAACCTGTGTAGAAGCATTCACGAACAAGATGAATATGCCATTTCTGAAATTGCTATCCCATTTTCTGCTTCTCACCTTCTTGAATTTCGCTTCCACTTCTGAAGCAGACAGCCCTACTTACTCTGGCCACAACTGCACAAGGAATAAAAACTTCACTTCCAATAGCCCCTACGAGTTCAACCTTAACACTCTTTTAATTTCCTTCTATTCCATGGCCGCCGACACTAACACCACTCCTGAATTCAACACCACCAGCTTTGGCCGCACAAACACGAGCGACGCCGTATATGGAGAGTACATGTGTCGAGGTGACGTCCCCACTCAGATCTGTCGAGATTGCATTCGGGACGCCACATATAGAATAGCCTCGATGTGTCCCTACGACAAAGAGGCAATCATCTGGTACGACGAGTGCTTCCTCCGCTATTCCGACCGCTCTTTCTTCTCCACCCTCCAACAACAGCCTGTTCAGCCTGTTCCTAGCCCTTCTGCCGTCCCTTGTCCGCGTAGCACACGATATACTGCAACATCATGCTTACCGATACACATCCAAATTGGAGGCGGAACAGATATGACAGACAAGGAATTGTACAAGACATTGAATGATGCGGTGGTGGAGGCAGTGACATCAGATACCAAGAAATTCGCAACAAAAGAAGCATACTTGAGTAATGGAAGATCGGTATACACTCTTGCACAGTGCACGCCGGATCTGTCCCTACAATTCTGTGTTGAGTGTCTACATGGCCTTATAGAAGATATTCTGAAGGAGGAGGACTACCAGAGTGGTGGATTTCAGAATCCGAGCTGCAATTTGAGATTCGAAAGATACCGATTTTATTATAAGGACGACCAGCCTCCCTCCAATGGTTCTACCTTTCAAGGTAACGTTACCATGTCTTCTTTTTCTTTCCTTTACTTTCCCCTTTCTACGCGCGAGTTGATAATTCGGCTATTTTTATTAGCGGCCAAAAACCATGTAGAAGAAGAAAAGACTTCCTTCGTCGCTCGATTAACACTCCCACATATTTGATTTTGCTCTGATTTAAGTTTTATGCATGTTATGTTTTTCTTTCTGTGAGATACTTCATAATTTTGTCACTCTACATAAATCTCAAAAAACACAATAAAGTAAAAGTGTAAAATAAATTTATTTTTATATATTCATTAATGATTAGTATAATATATATATATAAGAAAACAAAAACATGATATATATATATATAGTTGATTTCTTGTTTATTTACTTTTAATTGTTTCTCAAATATGTTTAAGAATTAAAAATATTTTGATGTATATACTTTTTTTTTTTTTGAAGAGTTGGTTTTTTAAGGGACAATTATATCCAACGAAATCCATCCTTCAGGATAGAACTTACAGCTTCTCTCTCTAAAGAGGTTGGATGATGTTATTGTGATACCATGCCGTTGGTTATTTGGAAAGTTCTCAAATTAAATTAACAATTGAAAATTGGATCCAGTGAGAGTTTCTTCATATTGTTGTCCCGACTCCTAAAAGTCCAGAAAGCTTTTCCATATGTTTCCTTTGTCACCCCCTTTTTCCAGCCTCCTACTTCGACATCAAAGCTATAAATTTAATGTTTTAATTCCTCAATACATTCTTTGCGTTTAGTTTTTTCTTTTTCATAAAAATGGCACAATCCATTGCCCTTTATAATTTTTTTCCTTGGGATTGATTATGTATGTTCGTTCAAATTAAAGGTTATATACACGCACGCTTTTAATAGTTGTCACTAATTTGCACTAAAAAAAAAATTCAAGGACTAAAGTCAAAGGAGATACGTTTTTGCCGATTTATTTTTTAGTTAACTTTTCCTATTTTTAAATTGAAGATGTGATTGAATTTTTAAGAAATAATTATCCAATTAAAGTGAGAGTTAACCCAAAAAAAATTTTGTTCACCTTTCGAAAAACGGAAACAACAATTTACTCGTAATTAAAGTACAATGATGTTTCCTTACTTATGGAAGTATTAATTGGGTATTTATGAATAGTACATCAAGCCCATGACATAGTCATAAACATTTTGTTTCTTTTATTGAAAAGGGCTTGGAAGTCCTACTCTTGCGTACCAGAACTGCTCGACCACCAAAAATTTTACTGCCAACGATCCCTACCTAAACAACCTCAAAAGTCTCACTCTCGAGCTCTCCATGTCATCCGACGACACCAAAAGCAATGGATTCCACAGCACCACAGTCGGAAGCAATTCCGACACTACCGTCTACGGCCTCTTCATGTGTCGGGGTGACGTGCCCCTTGGGCTCTGCCATGAATGCGTCAGTAAAGGAATTGAAGTACTGAACTCTGCATGTCCCTCTTCGAAGGAGGCTATCATTTGGTATGACATGTGCATGCTTCGCTACTCCAATCGCTCTTTCTTCTCTACCCAAGACACACAACCTATACATACAGAAGCTGGCGGGGATATGCTTAGAAACCAAACAGATGGCTTCAATCGGCTATTAGCTGCTACATTGAGTGCTCTAGTGAAGACGATATCAAACTCACCGCCCGTAGGAGCGAAGAATTTTGCAACAAAAAAAGGAGTCAGCCCTTCAGAGCTTACACCGTTGTATACTCTTGCACAATGCACTCCAAACCTGTCTAGTCAAGATTGCCAAAAATGTCTACAGGATGCTCAGGAACATATGACGTCATGTTGTCTTGGAAAGCGAGGAGGAAATGTCATGAGTCCTAGCTGCAACTTGAGGTTTGAATTGTATCGATTTTATGTTGACAGTAAAAGTGCTGTTTCGGGAAATACAGGTAAAGTGATTGGGGATCTAATCAATCATTTTTCTCACGGACATAGTTCACTACATATAAATTGACATTCCTAGTTTGCTCTCAATTTTCTACATACAAATCTGCTCCATTTCTTGTCTATGGCATGCAAATACACACGTGTTAATTTACGCAGGAAAAGATCAGGACCACTCACGAACAATTATAACAGCGGTGTCCCTTACTGTTGTCTCAATCATGCTTTTTTGTTTCGGCTTCTATTACTGGAAGAGAAAAAAGAGCAACAATTATAAGGCAATTCTGAAGAAAAATTGTATGTACGCTGTTTTTTCTCAGAAAAAAGAAAGAAAGAAAGACGAGTCAGTCGACTGTGAGAAAAACTATATTATTGCGGTGTACTTACCGTAAAATGTACATATGTTTATAGTCGGAGCTGAAGGAGCCACATTAGAGTCATTGCAATTCAATTTGGCAACAATTGAAGCTGCAACAGATAAGTTCTCACTTGAAAATAGAATAGGCAAAGGTGGATTTGGAGAAGTCTACATGGTAAATTGATTATGCGATCAAACATGTCTGTTTATGTATATTGTTGATTGTACATAAAGAGACCGTCTACTATATTATGAAAATAGATTGTCAGCCCCTCATTATCTAACTATATTATGATTTCAGGGCATTCTTCCCGATGGTAGCAAAATAGCTGTAAAGAGATTGTCAGAAAAATCAAGTCAGGGCTTATTAGAGTTCAAGAATGAGGTTTTACTAATTGCCAAACTTCAACACAGAAACCTGGTTGCATTATTAGGATTTTGCTTGAAAGATCAAGAGAAAATACTTGTCTATGAATACGTTCCTAACAAGAGCCTCGATTATTTTTTATTTGGTTCGTCCCTTCTAATCAAACTGTTCTTACCATTTTTCAATTTTCCATTCATGTATGATCCATTCTTTTTATTACTCTAAGGTGAATATATATTTATTGTATAATCTGTAATTTGATTTTAGACATAAATATATACATCGTGGTTCAATTGTATGCTCACAAAATAATTTAATTATTTATAGGTTCACAAAAGTCAAGAGTGTTAAATTGGCCAGAGCGTCACAAAATTATAGGAGGAATTGCTCGAGGAGTTCTTTATCTTCATGAATACTCACGTGTTAAGATAATACATCGAGATCTCAAACCTAGCAATATTTTGTTAGATGATGAGATGAATCCGAAAATTTCTGATTTTGGAATGGCGAGAATTGTTAGCATTAATGAAACTAGGGGAAACACGAATAGAATTGTTGGAACATTGTAAGTTCTCTATCTCTATGGCCTTGTCTCTCTTTCTCTATATGTATATGTGTGCACTTATGTATGTATCTTAGTTTTTTATGTATATTTTGCATGTGTACTTTAATTTTCTATTGAATCTAAATATTGATCCAAGACTTTCCTCAAATTATGTGGTGCTAAAATTCCAACATACATTGATACATTTATGTGTGATTTGTTTTTTTGTAGGGGTTACATGTCTCCAGAATATATCAAATTTGGACTATTTTCTGAGAAATCAGATATTTACAGCTTTGGAGTTATTGTTTTAGAAATTATAAGTGGAAAGAATATATCTTCTCAATGTGAATCACATGAATCTCAATATGCTGGTGGACTCTTAAGCGATGTAAGTATAGTAAACTTTTAGTGTTTCTCAAATGATCATCTCAAACTGGTCATTGTCGTTGTCATCATAAGCATCAACCAACCATTGGAGCTTATGTTAACAAAAATCTATAATCAAATTAGCAGCATGCCCTATTTTAAACTAATGATTTAACATAATGGCAGGCTTGGAAGCATTGGAGGGATGACAATTTGGTAGCGATATTGGATTCGAATCTGACAGAAGCTGGGTCACACAGCGAAATAATCAAATGCATCCATATTGGCTTGTTGTGTGTTCAAGGAAATCCAGGAGTTAGGCCTTCCATGAACAAAGTTGTTCAATATCTGAGTAATGATTCAATTCAACTGCCAATTCCTCAAGAACCAGCATTCTTCATCCATAGTCAAATGGAACCAGCGGAAACCAGTAGGTCAATGGAGGCTCAACTTGCCAACCATAATCAATATTCCATCAATGAAATGTCGGAAAATATAATGTCTCCTCGCTAGATCGCAGGAGACTTCAACTTTTGTTTTTCTCTACTTGAGAATTGAAGGTTTAGAATTTTTTCTCTTGTTGCATAACACGCGTGGCTTTATTTTTAAAACATGCTTGCAATAACAATTTGATTATTTCAGACTTGGTTTGCTTTCCGGCCCATTTTTCCTTTGTTTGCCGTCTATTAAGAGGTCATGGCTCTCTAACCTTCTTTCAACTAAAGGGATTAACATTTTGCTTCAATTGGATCCATTAGCAGGCTTCAACCATCCAACAAAACAAGACAAACTATGAAAGCTAAAGTTGATGAACCACGAACAAAATATTAACAATTAATCATAAATCTATAATTTTAGTGCAAGTATCAACTACGTATATTTTCCTATCATAAATACTTTTAAATATACATTAATTCACCAAAAAGTATGATAACTAAGGGAAAACATGATGAAATAACATGAATTTCACAACGTTCTATAGCAAAGGCTCTATCTTTGCATGTGGGCAATACTTCAATCTTGTAGATACCAAGCTGAGCAATTGGTGTTTAGGAAAAAGAATAAATAAAAGCGTTGTCCTCGGGAGTAAAAGAATTCACTCGACAACACTTCATTTCAGAGCATGATTCTTTACTTCCAAATCAGTTGGTAAGCTCCAGATTTGACAATGCCATAAAAAAGCATATTTCTATGGAACTGACAACTAAATTGAATCATCGTTGAGATCTATATAAAATAAAATAATTCTTGTTGAAACTAGTTTCAATACTCATTATCATAATGAATACTATAATGCTCATCAAATCTCAACTATTCAAATTTAATATGGATGGCTAAGATTCAATTTTTTATATCTTTGTTTTTAAAAAATGTTTTCCTTTACTAGATAGATAATTCAAAATAAATGTAATTTTTCAACTATAATTTTTTTAAAAATAATTTCTTTATTTAAAAATTATTAGTTAAAAATTTTAAACCTAGACCATTAAAACTATATCTGAATGGTATAGATTTTACTGTAACGATGAGTATCTCAATGTTCACCATTGCGATGAGTGCCAAGACTGGTTCTAATTGTAACCATGCACAAAGGCTTGATTTGCATTTGGATTTTCTTGAATAGAAAACAACTTGATGCAAATGGATGCACGTACTTAATCACTTCATTACATTATCTGAATTCATTATTTATGCCTGAATATAATATCTCTATCAGCTTTATCATACCCCCACCGATGACAAGTTTCTAACAATTAAGTAAAACAAATTATTATAATAATCTCCCTTTCATTATTAAATGCCATATATGTTGAATCTCCATAATATTACCCGTACGTTGCATATTTTGAAGACATATAAACACTGAAAAAGAAAAATATTAATAACAACATTTTTATACAATACATAATAAGAACATTAATTGAGACGTTCAATGATTAGTTGAGATGTAAATTATTGAATCTCTTCTTAGGAACACTTATTTTTCTTCATTTAATTCAACTACATCAAAATAGATGTAGAGCTTAAAGAGAGAAGATTTAGAACTTAATATGTCCCAACTATTTTATTTTTACTTCATTTGTGTTGATAGCAACCATTTTAGCTAAGCCAACATATGATATTTTTGGATTCACTTTATCATCTAATAAAATATTGCTTGGTTTGATATCATGATGTATACTTTTAAGACAAGAATATTCATTGATAAAAAAAATTTCTTGAGCAACTCCTGCAATGATTTTACAACGCTCTACCCAATTTAGTGCTTTGCCTTCTTGGAAACCTGTACATTAATTGTTGCGAGTGACTATATATATAGAGACAAAATAAAGGTAATCTAATTATAGACAATTAACTCCAACATACATTAGATGGCGTGAACAACAAATTTCAGTAAGAGTTAAAGAAGGTATAGATTGTCAAAACAAATAAAAAGGAGTCAAGGTTCCGAACATATTCATAAACAAGGATTTTCTCTTGTTCTTCTATGCAAAATCCAAGCAAGGCCACCAAGTGTATGCGCTGAAGTTTGGCAATCAATAAAACCTCGTTCTTGAATTCTTCTCCACCTTGACCAGAATTTTTTAAAAGTCTCTTGACAGCTATTTCTTGACCATTTGAAAGAACACCCTAGAACCATAGATGATTAGATTAAAAGTTAAGAAACATATATAAATCTGTTCGTGTGTGTCAATGTGTAACATTTATACTGATGACGTGTGTTACCTTGTAAACTTGTCCAAATCCACCTTGGCCTAAACATTTTTCATGAAAAAACTTATTTGTTGCAGCTTCAATAGTGGCCAAACCAAATTGTAGAGGCTCTAAATTATGGCTTTCATTTCCAACTGGACACACAGAAAATAGTAAAGGATGCTGAAAGCAATAAAAGCATCGATACAAAAGCTCTTTAGACAAGCCGACTTTTATGGATAAATAAAAATTTGTCCGAGAACAAAAATTACTTACAGTATTTTTGTCTGAGAAAAGTGTTGCGTCTCTTCTTGATTAGATTCTTTGAGAGATAGTAGGCGACACAAAAACAAAATTCCCAGACACCAACAGAACAAACCACAACTACCATAATAGTCCCTGTTGACTGACCTTTCCCTTTTAGTGCGAAAAGTCAAAAACATCATATACGTCCGCGTCTCAATGTAATGACATCATATGATAATTGACTGTATCCCGTGAGACCAGGGGATCATATTCACATTCTGATTAGGTTCAATTTTCCTCAGCGGTCATGTTATTTTTTGAAAGTTTATTTTGATGCCAAAATCAGCGTAATCTTTTTCTTTAATCGACGTACCCAGAAATGCATTTTAAAATAAAAATCAGAAAAGCGTATTAGGGACTCAGCAAACAAAAAAATGTTTAAGTTGAATTTTACCTTGAGGATCTGAAGAACTTGTTGGAGGAGAAAACGCAGGCGGTGTAGGCGCCGTCGCTTCTGGCTGATCATCAGACTTATGAAAAGGATATAACTCATAGCGAACGTTGCAACTCATAGAACTCTTCCTCCTTGTTTTCATAAACAGCACCATGTTGAAAGGTCTCCAATCACAGCACTCAGACAAATTCTGCAATCTTGGGATGATAGGTCCTGCGTGCACCGAAGTAGAGAATACGTTGCTCCGAGCCCAGATATGCTTGCTTCCCTTGTGGTATATTTCTTAGTGCGGTTAGCTGCTTCATGGTTAAGCGTGCTCAACAATATCTGCAAGAAGCTCAGGGGGGACACTTCGCCGGTGTTCAAGAGGCGCAGTGTAGGCCTTGTTTCGACGGTGGAGAACAAGGGATGGTTCGAATAGCGAACCATGCACTCGTCGTACCAGATTATTGCCTCCTTCGAAGTTCTGCACTCGGAAGATAATCTTTGGGTGGCGGTAATGACGTATTGTTTCAGCTTTGCTTTTATTTATTCTTTTTCCACCACCCTTTGCTTCTTCACTTTTCCATCGTTTCTGTAAAATTTTCCAATTTCAGTTAACAAATGAACCTCAAAACTCATTGGAAAAACCTACCGGGCCGGGGTGGTGCACGGATTCTCTCTAGGGACAGCAAGGTCATTTATCTTGTAAACTCTTGTTTATTTAATGTCATTTTGTCTTGTTCCCCCAAAAAAAAAAAAACACCAAAGTCATTTTACGCTATTTGTGCTTTAAGCTTTTGAAAAAAATTAAAATTAAAAGTTTGTTTCTGACTTAATTGTTTAAACTTTAAAGATCTCGTTCATTTAATTTTTCTTAAGATATGTATTCAATAATTTATATTTATAGTCCCCACGGATTAACATATCATTCATTCCTCTAGATAAATACATAAATTTCTAATTAAATAAAAAGTTTTAAGCAGTTGTACAGACGAAATCTCTGATGCTCACATACGGACATGCGCATAAGATCTCCCAGCAGCTCAAATTAAATTTTGTGTATTGCAATTATTATTATCTGAAAACAGATATTACTACAAATGGTTTTAAATTAGTAAACGTTATATGTTGCTCTTTATGACGGTAATTTCATATCAGACATATATTTGAGTAACCTTGCTTGTTAAATAAAATACTCTATTAATTTGTTCTCTGCAGTTATAATATTTGAAATACACATGTGACGTGAGGGTTAGCGAGGGTGATATGTATTTTTAAAAAAAAATAAGTGAGACTAATAACATTTACTATCGAGATATATTCTGTCACTCCGTCAGTCATAAATATAAGACCTATTTTATAGTATATACTACACTGTAAAATAAATTTTATATTTAAAACCAAAGGAGTATAAATATCGCATTACCTGGCCTTTTTTATCTTTAGTCTGAAGATGCAAACAAAAAGGGAAAATAGATCTCCGGCTTCTTCACTTTGTTTCTCTCTGGGTTCTGGATCCCGGGATTGAACTTGAAAGTGATAAAGAGAGTGGGCTGTACACACTAGGAAGAGGATTCTCTCCTCTACCTAGCCTCTTTAATCTTCAATTTTTGTTCTGAAGATGCAAGGATCCTCTCTGATACATTTGATACTTTATGAAAAATGCTTACATATAACTGAATTAATGTAATTATGGTAATTTTGACCATGTTTGATACCAACAAGTACATAAAACTACCGCTCAAATTTTATATTTAAAAGAAAAAAAATTAGATTTATTATAATTGTAAAACGGGGATGTAGGCAAATAATCAAGATCAGCTAGGAATTTTCCCGATGACGCCGCGTTTGTATAACGAATGAATCTGGGGGCTAAAAGGTACAGCCTTATTTTCGTTTGTTTTTATTGATTTAATAGTGTTGTTAAATTTATTATAATAATTGAAAGTAATTTTAATTTCATGCAAAAAGAACAGCAAGGAAATTTTGTAGAAAGCCACACAATTTTATTTTTTTTTGCTATGCATATGTATTTTTCTATTAGAAGCAATTTTATTCGAGATACTGTGAACACTAAGTGTGAGCACCTCTCCAACAGAAATTCGAACCTTGATTTGATGTGTTGTGAGGAACTAACGCCTTATATTAAACCCAACCATTGATAAGCCACGTGAATTAAATCACATATATTATGAAAAACTGTTGGGGATATGTTTTTTTCCTTTGAACTGGCGCTTTTGGGTTGGGAACAAGGCCGGAGCTTCTTCGGGACAAAAGCGTAGACGAGTCGGTCTAAGTAACTCACATGTTCACAGAGAAGCTTTAGCCTGTGCTGATCTTCTGGGCAAGACTGCACATGTGGCAAGTAGAACTCCTCTATATTTCCACTCCGTCATATCTACTTGTGCAGCTCAATTCGCACTGGACAAGAGTTACACTTCCCTCTAGTCTAGTCTCTTTTTTGTAACAAGCTTTGCATGCCTCTTTCAATTCAAAAGAAAGAAACTCACATATCTAAGTTGTTTGATTATGAAGGACTGAAATTATGTTTTTGAAGAAAACGTGAAAACAAAGGACGTCAAAATGCTTTCGAGAAGTGTTTGCAATGTCTGGGCGAATAATAATATTGTACTGTTTGGGGCCTCTCTTGGGCCTAAGTGGGGCCCACTTTTGATCTGAAAAGTTTCAAAAATTTTGCCCAACAATAAAATATTAATTCCAAGCAAATTAATGCTTATTAGTTACTATTCACTTGTAACCTTTTATAATTTTTTTCAGACCTCCAAAATTGCATTTTTCTCTGTGAAAAATTCTCTTTTAATATGAGAATATGATCTGAAAATTTTCAAGATTTTTCTTCACCTCTAACTATTTATTTTGAATTTTTTCCAAATAGGCCCTTGATCAGTAGAACTACAAGAAATAAATTTTCCAAAATAATTTCCTGTGTTTCCAGGGAGTGAAACCAATTTTATAAATTCCAATAAACATTTAGATAATTATTCCATATTTTTTCATAATTATTGAGGTCTCTAAATATTTAAAATAATTATTTTCACTCAATTTTTATTTTATTTTTTTTGAAAAACCTTCATTTTCAGGAAATTCTATAAATAACTATTTCCATACCATTTTTACCTTCGGGGCCTCAATTAAAGTTCCAAAGCCTCTAATTTATCTTTTTACCATTTTATGGGAATTTTCTGAAATTTTTTTCAAATTTTTCTATTTTGCCCTTCCTAGACTGATAATTTCAAAAATATTAATCCAGAGTCTATCGGGGTTTCATATCAAAAGTTGTTTTATCCTTATTCTAATTTTCACTCCGTATGTCGGGATAAACTTTTCAGGATGTGACAGATAACATATATTCATGATCAAAAATTGCTTCTAGAAGATATCCTATAATAAGGATCAAAGGCAGTACAACTTTTTTTAAAAGAAAAAACCCTTATTTATAGAGAGGATAAGTAGAAATAATAAGAGAAAAAGTAGAGTGAGATATATAATTAATTATGTGTAAAAATAAAAAAATTAAATGAATTGAATAATTAAAGAAGTCCACATTAATACTTATAAAAACCCACACCCCTGTTCACCCAAAAAAAAAAAAACCACACACCTTCAAAAGATTTGATGCTTATAGACCAGTCTTCAAGAATTATATAATTTTGCTATTTATTCGCAAACATGAATCACAATTACCTAAAAATGCAGATATGATCATCTGTGTGTGTGACTTCTAAATAGTTGTATAGATCAATTGATAATAATATGTATTGAACAAACTATACATGGCAATATTTTTTTATTTTGATAAAAACAAGAACCTAACTACATCCTATTCGACTGTACGCCTGCAGCGTAGTCGTTATTCAAAATCGTAACAAGCTCAGGGGAGCCTCAATAACAAAACAAAAACCATGAGCTGCCGCGAGTCCTTGTTTGGCGAGGTAGTCCGCTACTTTGTTGCCGGATCTGTGCACAAAATCGACTCTGACCTCCCAATCCCTGGTCAGTAATGCGTGCGCACCTCTACTAACTGCGTAGTCCGCATGATGTTCATTTGGTTCAGTGGTCAAGAGATCAATCGCTCCTGCTGCATCCGTCTCTAGAATGACTTTTCTATGCCCTGCATCCCATGCCATTTTCAAGCCATGAAGGCAAGCCCAAAGCTCGGCACTCAATGCATCGCCATCATACATCCGGTGTATAAACCCTTTCAAGAATCTCCCTTCAGAATTTCTAAGCAAACCCCCACACGCGGTTGCTTGCCGAGGTACCGAAAAAGCTCCATCAGTATTGACTTTTACCCAACCATTGTTAGGAGGGGACCACATGGTATTACCTGAGACATGTCTCCCCCCTGGAATATTCGTACCCTTCAACATTCGGTGAGCTTCCTGGATTTGTCTAACCACAGCTTTCACATTAGCAATGATCGTATCATTAGAAGTCTTTTTTTTTTCTCAAAGACATATAAGTTGTGGTGCCTCCATATCCACCAGCAGACGACTGCAAAAAGTGCGCTCCAATTTTCCAAGTCCACTGGCTTATAAGTGATGTTCCACTGAAGCCACGCAGCAAAATCCATCGTACAAGAGCGTCTCCATGCTGGGGAAGGCAATATAGATGTCCAAAGGAGACGGGTTTCTGGACAGTCACGAAACACATGGCTCATATCCTCAACCCCCCGCTGGCACACGGGGCAACTATCATCGTCGTTTAGTCCTCGCCGTCTGTGCATGGCGTTCGTGAGGAGGCTCCGGTGAGAAGCCAACCAGACGAGAGTTCGGCAACGGTGGGGCACAGGTAGTTTCCAGATTCGATGCCAGAGGGGATCCTCCTCCACTTCAGCTTTAGTTAATAGATCATACGCAGACTTAGTAGTAAACTGACCACTTCTCTCCCACTTCCATTGCGCATTGGTATTATCAGAGCTGACTTCAAGACCGTCCTTCAGGGTGTTCCAAGTCTGTTTGATGCCCTTCCATACATTTGATCCAGGACGTTCCATATCAATCCTTGGGATAAGGTCGTGCCCACATCTGTACTTATCCCGGACCACTTTAACCCAAAAAGTATCACGGTTTTTAACCATCCTCCATCCTAACTTCATCAAGAGAGAGTGATTTTGTGGCCTCGCATGCCTTAATCCCAGTCCTCCTCTCGCCTTCGTCTTGCAAGTCGTCTCCCAAGCTACCAGTGAAGTCTTTCTCTTTTCCTCGGTACTACCCCACAGGAAAGCTCGATTAAGTTTGTCTAGAGCATCACAAGTGGTAGGAGGAATCAAAGAGGATTGCATAGCATAGGCCGGAATGGCCGACGTGACCGAAGAAATGAGAGTAGCTCTACCTGCCAGGGATAGCGAGGTGGTCTTCCATTTTCCTAGTCGGGTCTTGACTTTATCCACGGTTTCTTGGAAAGTATCCTTGCCAACACGCTTG